CCCATCGATTCGACAGGACATGCTGTCCTGGAGCGGGGTTGACAAGGGTGTACACCTTGTTTGACTTGAAGGATTCAAGTTCCAAAGCCATAGAGGCTAGCCATTCATTTTTATCTTTAGAGCGATACACATCTGCCAGGGTTAAAGGTACGTCTACCTGTGGTTCTATTTTACCTGGTTTATCACTACTCGTAGTACTACTTGAGGCATGGTAGGCTAAGCCACGAATCGATCCGGTTTCTTTAGGGTTTTTCTATCCCTTAAATTATACTTGCTTCCCTCGTCTCGGTGTCCTGTAGCCGCTCGGGTTCCTTCCCTTGATCCAGATGAATCATCGGCAGACGCTCTTGGGTCACCTGTTCCATTGACAGAGGAGATCCCGAGATCATCATCCACATTTCTCTCTCCACTCCAGTCGTCGTCATCTTCTGGCATCCCTTGATCGTCAGCTCCATTGGGAGAGAGTTCTTCTTCTTCTTCTTCATCATCAGCGGGAGGTCCGTTGATATCATTGGTAGCTGAATCTTCTGGGATTGGCGGAAGTAGATTTTCGTCTTCGTGTAGAGGTGCTAGATCCTTTACCTCGATGTCCCGGATACGATGGACTCTGGTTGTTCCCAATTCCAGAACACGGTACGATAACCCGTCTTCATCTATTCCGACGACAGCTCCAGCAATGGCTCGTTTATCGAGTTTGTCCTTGCCGGGCTGGATGTTGTAGAACCAATACCTGGTTCCGAATCTCAGGACTCGACCTAGATATGGTCTATGTCCAGTGATGATTTCGAATGGGGTTTTGTCCAGCGGCTCAATGAACTTAGTCACGTTGAGGCAAAACGTCCCAAAACAGACTGCCTCAGCCCAAGCTCCTTTACCCAGTTGACTGTCGATTATCATTGTTCTTGCTAGATTCACCAATGTTCGGTTCAGTCGTTCACTCACTGAGTTGTGTTGAGGAGTGTATGGCGCTGAATATGAATAGTCACATCCTGAAGATCTGAGGAATGACTGCAGTCGCTGGTTCTTAAACTCAGAGCCACCATCAGAGTGGAAATGGTATATTTGATGTCCTGATCTGAGCTTGAACCATTTGAAGAAATCTCGGATCCTATCGAAGACCTCAGACTTGCTACGGAGGAAGTACGTTTTACGGAATCGGCTGTGGTCATCAGTCAATGTGAGGAAAGCGTTATGTCTTCCATATGACGGAGTGCTTACAAAGCAGACATCGCTTCCGATCCATCCAATGCGAGGGGCAAGTGAGCTGCTTGGTTTCGGCCTTTAGCTAGCTCTGTGCATTTTTCCTTTAATGCAGCTTTCACAGCTTACAAAATCGTGGATCACTTCATATCCTTGTCTCTCTAACATTGACTTGAGCCGTCCTACGTTGATGTGGGCAAAGTTCCTATGAACTGACGTGAGGCTGACCTTTTTCTTCTTCTTGATGCTCTCAGCTTCTAGGCCTTCTGCTTCATTTACGGCGTACATTATATAAAGCCCATTTTTCCGCGGGGCATGTATGACTGTCTTTCCTTTGGACAGACTCATTGATTTCTTGCAGACTTTGACCACGAAGTTGTCATCAGTGAGCTTAGAGACAGACAAGAGATTTCTGCGTAGTTTCGGGACATACAACACATCGTTCAGTTGGATCTTAACTGGTTGTCCATTGCTTACGAAAGTCACGAGGGCAGTTCCGAACCCAGGAGCGCTCAGGGTCCTTGAACCGCCTAGTCAGATCTGGCGTGACTGATGATATGGTGTGTACTTCACCATATTGCTTCTTGTGTTGCTCATATGGAAATTCGTTCCACTGTCCACTACGTACTCGTTGTCTGGAGTTACTATATTTGTCTCTACGGTACCTGCTTCACAGTTGAGAGCTTCGGTCACTCGAGCTTCGCTGATATTAGCACTCGCTCGATTCTGCTGACTACGACGTTTGTTGAACCATTTCTTCGGTTTTCGTTGCTGGTTCCTTTGTTGAGTTCGTTGAGGTCTCACGTGGCTTTGATTCTGGCTTGGTCCAGCATTCCCGTTATTTCTGGGAGCGGTACACTGAGCAATCAGGTGACCTTTCCTTCCACAATTATAACAGGTTCTCTCAGATGTGCTGGAGACCGTACGGTTGTACGTGGTCCTGCGCTTGAACACCTTCTTATGGGGTTGCCATCTTTTCGATACACGAAGCCCTGAGAACAGGGCAGTCACTTCACTTGTATCGTGTCTTCCACGTCTCGTAGCTTCCTCTCCAATAGCTTCCTTAAGGTGACTCAAAGATTTGGAGGAGCTTTCTCGAGCAGTGAAAGCTTGCTTGAATGGTTCCCAGGTAGGAGGCAGGGAAGCCAATAGGATGTTGATCTTGAGGTCTGGGGGAATCTTGAGCCCAAGTGAAACAATGCGCTCGTTGATTCGTTCGAAACGGAACAAGTTTTCAGCCGACGTCTTGTTTGGTTGATACTTGTACTGCATGAACTTGGTGAGAGCTATCTGCTTGAGTCCTCCAGATGTGCTGGTGAACTTGCCGATGATGTCTCTCCACATTTCAGCAGCCTCCACAGTATCAGGGCAGTCAGAAAACAAGGAAACAGCCAGAGCAGTCTCCATTGACGCAAACAAGGTGCATCGAGCTGCGCGGTTTCGAGCCTCATACTTTCGCTGAAGAATCTTTGACTCCTTGTCATCCTTGGTGGGATCCGGTTGTACGAATTTACCCAAAACGATAGATAGGGCAAATGGATCTGCGTCCAGGACTCCAGGAATCGTTACTCGCCATTCGTTGAAGTTTGACCCGTCCAGTTTGAGTTTCACGATGTCCCGGTTCCTGTTTCGGGAACTCATGTATAACTCAGGGAGACCTGCATCGTCGTCATCCTTTTCATCCTTGTAGCCGCTAGCAGTATCTCTAGTTCTTCTAGCTGGTCGAGGTTGAAGCATGTCGTCGCCTACGTCACTAAAGCCGTGGGAGCTGGTGGAATCTTCTGGTGGTGGATTCTCTTCCGTCCTATCCATTTGCACTCGGCACTTTCACGGATAGGTCTCTTGACCACTACGGG